GTTCATCAAGCTTCAGCATAAGCGTGAGTTGTTCTTCTGATTCTGGTATTCTGATATAGCATCTTCTGATGCTGATGTTGATAACCAATATTCTGATGCTGATTATGATGTACTATTGCTGATACCTATCAGAGTTTCTGCAAAACAGAAATTAATATTTTAGGTAGAAAATAGTTCTTACATGAATCACATAATTAATATATCTTTTCATTTTGTTATCATCAAAACTTAAACTTAGGGTAGTAGATTCAAACTTTGTTCTAACAATATTCATTCTGCTGCTCTCTATTCTCTGATATTGCTTAGGGGTTTTAGCCAAAAATCTGCCAAAGGGGGAGTTTGTAAGTGTTTAGTTATTGGCATGTATTTTTGGTAAAACCAGGTGTGTGAATGTCATGACTGATGTCATAACATTCTGGATTATTAGGTACTTTATGTAGAAAAAGTATGGCATACAGTAGCTACTGTTTATGAGTGTGTATCTGAGTATTTTGCAATGATCACATTTATTGCCTTCTACCAAAATCAGTAAACAGGAATTCTGATGTCATAACAAATGTTAAGACATCTTGTACTGATCTAACAGTTATGCAGTTTGGTTAATTCTGATATTTTTCAGGAAGTTGGTTCATTCCTTCCAGAACAGAATCTCACGTGGTCTTTAAGTTAACCTAGCTCAACCCTAATCTGGTTGATAAAGTCTTGTGACCAAGTCTTGAGGTTAACCCTAATTAACCCTAGCTTTTCGTGGAAGCCCTAACTGAAGAAACAGCTGCATATATATTCAACAGGAAAGCTGATTGGAAATAAACTCTTTGACAGAAGATCAATTAGGAGCTGTATAGTTTTAACTGCTGTAATCCAATCAAGTATCATTGTGATAAGTGACTTGGAATAGGTTTTGATTGTAAGGGTTTTTGTATCACTCAAAGCTTTGAAGCAAGAGTGTTTTGTGTCTCTTGACTAAAGCTTTGAAGCAAATTCAAGTTAGGTTTATGTATCACTCAAAGCTGTGAAGCACGAGTGTTTGTGTTACTTGATTAAAAAAGCTGTGAAGCATAATCAAGTGTATGTTCTGAAGAGTGTCTTCATTATTTCATTAGTCAATTGTTTAAGTATCACTGCTGTGATTGAGGGGGAGTGAGTAGGAACTCAGGTTTAAGTTGAACTTAGATTGAAGTTGCATTGGGTAGGTCTTAAGTGAAGGAGATAAACTGGTTGGTTTATTCCTGAATTAATATCTCTTATAGTGGATTTCTTCCCTGGCTTGGTAGCCCCCAGAGTAGGCGTTGTTTCACACTGAACTGGGTAAACAATTGACTGTGTTCTTTACTGTTTTTATTTACTGTCTTATAGAAAGTCAGATACAGTGTCATAACATTCACTGTGACATTGAGTATCTGCTGCCAGAATTTCATCGACCATCTTCACCATCCCGACCATACTGGCGGCCAGGTGTTTCCTCCGGCTTTCTTTGTCGAGCCGTCTGATAGTCTCAGCCTCGTCGTTGCTCACCGTCAGAGGAAACCCCTCGAAGAAATATTTCTCTTTAAAACATGGGGGTAAGCCGAAGGCCCTCGCAACCACGGACTCGTCGCCAACCTCCGACCTGTTATCAGCCCGACTTCTCTCTCTCGTAATCAGCTCAGTGGGTTGTTCAGCATCAGGGGAGTTCGGGGACTCACTAGAGGCATCGCCCGAACTGGCCGGCGGGCCCATCCTCGTGGCTTGCGGAGCTCGCACCAGCCTTTTGTTCACTTTCTTGTCCTGAGTCAGTTTCAATAGCCTCTCCCGTCGTTCGGCCATGTCGCCTGCAAAGAAGAGCAACACTCGGGTTAGTTGCAAGTAAGCAAAAACAACGAAAATGGAATAAAACAATAATAAAAGCAAAAGCAAGAAACCTACTAGATCTACGGCCTGCCCGTAAGATTGACACTCGACGAGCACCTTGGTGTCGATGGGACGGGCCTCGAATGTCGGGTACCCTTCCTCGTCAAGAATATCTTCCCCCTCCCTCGTGACCCACCGGGCAGGGAAGAAGTTGTCGACATATTTGAAAAGGACAGCATAGGCCTCTTCTCCCTCGGCGCTCATGTTTCCCGCGAGCGTATGATAGTACCCGGTACCATGGTCGTAATGGCCCGAGCACCAATGTATTGGGAACTTGGATATGCGCCCTACTGCCGGACGACCCTCAACATCCATAAGGGGCTCCCCGTCCTCGTCGACTACCGCGGTTTCCGCCTCGAACAAGGAATCAAAGGCAGTCTGGGTGACCGGCTGCAGAACGTACCACTTATCCTTGAAGCCCCTGACCGAATCCATATACATCCTGAACAGCCTCTTCGACTGTTTCAGGGATACCCAGCTATGCCTGCCTCCTCGAGACTGACGTTGCTGGTGAAAAACCCTGAAGAAAAGGGGAATCGTCGCCCCGATCCTCAAGAAACGACATGTTAGCTCGAACGCCCGAAGGAAGGCGATCGAATTAGGGTGAAGCTGCGAAGGGGCCAAGTTCAGATGGCAGAACACCCCGACTTGAAAATCGCTGAAGGGGAGCTTGAGACCGAGATCCCTGAACACGATCTCGTACATAGGAAACCCATACTCGGTAAACTCCGAGCAGATTCGCGCATCGGTGGACGGCCTCATCACAACAAAATTCTTCTGGAAACCTGGCGTACTACCGCCATGCTCGACGACAGTATATGCTCGTCGACTACGCCGACAGTACGCCGAGGCAATCCCCCGGGGCTCGGCGCCCACCCAGTCCAACGAGGGGTCATCGATGGTATCAACTAAAGTCACATTCTCTTCGGTACTTTGGTCCTCGACTTCATTTTGCCTCGAAGATTCCGGTTCGTCGGCCATTTACCTGCAAAGCACAGGAAACCGGTGAAATTCGAGAGCAAATCCGCATGCTCGCCACAGTGACGGGAAGTAGTGTGCGACAAGTCGAACACGGACACCCCAGCTCGACCAGGCATCAGGAACAACAAGGGAATAGCATGAACACCCCGGGCAATAAATATGGATGACTCGAGCAAGGTCCTGACTTTGCCTGCCCGACACTAAGATGCTACGACGGGTTATCCTACATACTTCCTAAGGGGTCAACATCCCGACCAGCTCATGGGTGCGCCGACCAAAACTATGAATGTGACGGGCAGTATCATAGATCATATGACTAAAACTATGAATGTCACGAGCAGTATCATAGATCATGTGCCTAAAACTATGAAGGTCACAGGCAGCATTGCGAGTTACGTACCTAAGACTATGGGTTTACCGGGCACAATCATGAATCTACCGGGCACTACTCCCAGATATGGGTTTCTAACATCCAAATAACGTCAAAACTACCTACAACGAAGAAAAACATGAGAAATGAACACTTACTTGGAAGAAAGAAGAACGTACGACAGCGATGGCAGTAATCAGCGGAGGATGGTGCGGTGATCTCACGGTGTTGCAGCAAACGACGACGGCGGAAGCAGAGGAAGAAGGAAGGAGAAGCGCGAAGAAGAAAAACAAATTATGGGCCCAAGGATCCTATTTATAAGGATGACGTGGAATACGAAACATCGCACCGGGGAGCCACGAACTTCCATGTCCTCGACACTTATTCCCCTAGGCAATGATGATCCTATTGTTGCTAGGGTGGCGTTACAATTCCCAAGGACTGTCTCGTGTATCCGACAAACACAGCCCGTGCGGAATCCCTCGAACACACAGTGACGAGGATTGCGCTGCGTCTCCGAGAAACGCAGCCCGCGAGAAACTCCTCGAGCGCGCGTCGGAAAGGCAAACCTGGGTCCGCGCATCAGATCCCTGTGGTAAAGGCGAGCTGAAATCAAGTCATAACTCATGCCCCAGGAGCAACGACTTGGGGTGCTCCTGTTCTGGACTGGGCCCACCTTGGCCCAAAGCGCATATAAGGGCCCAGTCCAAGCAAACTCCTCGGGGAATGATCACCAGCGGGCCACCACCGACGTGCCCGACAACAGACTGTAGCCACTACACCCGCCATTGTCTGTGACACGCAGTGTCCCCGACCAAGGGAACTCCAGCTCGAGACCCGCTCGAGCACCCTCCCCGTAGGACAGATTCTGTCCATTCTGACCGTTATCGAACCCTCTAAACTCCGGAAAGACCGCGTCTTCGTCCCTCCTTATTCTTCGCGAAGCACCATTAGGAAGGGGACCACGTGCGAGGCCCCACTACGCACGTAGAACCTGACAGTTCCTTTATTGGGCCAGTTCTGGTTAGCCCAATGAGGGGACCTTGACCCAGCGCTGGGGGCTATAAATACCCTCTGTTCCCAGAGGGTTAGGTATTCATCTATTACGCACCTATACATTTTTTGCCTGCTCATTCTGTCTTTCATTTTAGCATCAGAGTGTCTTACAGGTACCCCCTATTTCACTCAAATTCTGCTCGAACCAGTCGGAACAGTCCAAGTCTGATCCGATAAGATCAAATACATATTTTAATAATTAGACTAGTTTTTTGTTCTTCTTATATTTCAAAGGCCATACCATAAGATATGAGTTTCCAAGTGCGTCGAATAATATATTCCCACAATTTGATAGAGTAGGAAATCTCAACCTTGATTTAAAATCAAACAATTTTTATCATACACCCAATAAAATTGTAAAATAAATTATAAACAAACAAACTAATCAACTGTACCAACACGAAATCCAAGTAGTAAGATATGTTTGTTTAAAATTTCCAACCATATATTTTTGTGTAAAGTCGATTGTATCCTCCATCCAAAAAACCAGTATCTTATCTTTTTTAAAGTCGGTTAGAAAAAGCGTAAAATAACCTTTTGATATTTATTTCAGAGTGAGAGAAAATAACAATTTAAAAATAATAAAATTTCTGAATCACACGATGCATTACAGTGTACTTGTTTCCTTAACTACGTAGAAAATATTCTATTTTTCAAAAAGCATTATTTCATTTGCATCGTGCATTTTGCAAGGTAGTTAAACATGGCTACGACGAGAGTCTCTTGGTTATTACGCTGCACTCACACTTGGTCGATTCAACCTCAAACCCTCTGCAACAGAAACGTTACGACGCTAACTACTACTGGTACAATATTTAGTAGAAGAAGAACAAGTTACGTTGGTGTATCAATGGCGGTGAAAACTAAAGAGGAAGAGATTGTGTTGGAGGAAGAGAAGAAGAAGCTTCAGTTAGGGATTGCTGAGTTTTACGATGAGTCTTCTGGTATATGGGAGGATATTTGGGGGGAGCATATGCATCATGGATTTTATCATCCGGATTCTACTGTTTCGGTTTCGGACCATCGGGACGCTCAGATCCGAATGATTCAGCAGTCTTTGAGTTTTGCTTCTCTTTCTGGTATTCTTTTCGTTCTACTCATTCATATTCATACTCACACGTGATACTCATAATAATTTGAATAAATTAATAAATTTAACTTAAACATAAGTCAATGAGATAGATCTAAAAAGACTATAAGAAATGTTATTGAGATATATCTCGAGATTAACGATTTGGATAGAAATATGGTCCTGATGGCGAAAGTTGATCCATGAGGCTTGCTTATTGTTGTTGTAGTATATAATTTTGATACATTTAGGGACTTTATTAGCAAATTTTAATGACAAAAATGATTGTTTACTCAATGCTATGACAGAGAGATATGAGTCATGAACATTAGACACGGCACTGGTAATGGTTTGAAAAAAATACAAGTGATTGAATGTAACTATCGATGTGTGGTGTTAGTGTTGGATATCCAATACACCTTAATATGAAGTTTTGGTGCCACATAGAAAATGGATTTCGGTTATTGTTAATAAATTATAAACTATTTCTCAATTGGAGAATACCAGGATCCTGTGTGTGTGATTTTAGATGTTATCAACACAAGTGAATTTTCCATTTTGCTAGTAAATTTGACCCTGGCTAGTATTGACTACTTGGTGTTATTGAATGAATGAATATGCTATTCAGAGGACTCAACAAAATGGCCAAAGAGTGTAGTTGATGTTGGGTGTGGCATAGGGGGGAGTTCAAGGTACCTAGCCAAGAAATTTGGGGCAAGTTGTGTAGGCATCACTCTCAGTCCTGTTCAAGCTGAAAGAGCAAATGCTCTAGCCGCTGCTCAAGGATTAGCTGACAAGGTTTTTCTTTTTCTGGATATTTTCTCCTTTACCATTTTCTCACACATTTTACTTCTTGCTGCTCAATATTTGTTCAACTATGTTATTATTGTAACGAAGCCCTCACCAAGGGTCTTAAGAACCTGCATAGAATAGAATACACTCATCCGTGGTCTATATAGCACATGTCTCATATTTGGCACATGTTTGCCACTTAACATGATATTGACACATGTGGTTATATACTTATGTTCAATCACTTCCACTTTCTTAAACTATTAATGTGTCTACGTCTCGTCTCAGTGTCAGTATCGTGTGTCTGACGTGTCTACTGTCTATATCAATGACTCATTGTATGGATGATATATTTACCTTTTATGTTTGTGTAATGTAATGGTAGGTTTCCTTTCAAGTTGCTGATGCTCTAGAGCAACCATTCCCTGACGGCCAGTTTGATCTGGTGTGGTCGATGGAAAGTGGAGAGCATATGCCTAACAAACCAAAGGTTCCAATTCTCTTGTTGTCTCACTTGCTTTCCACTTCACTTTCTTTGATATTTTATTTTCTCTATCTTATAAAGTTGTATTCAATGTCCCGTTTCATTCAAAATCTGTTTCAGTTTGTTGGAGAGTTAGTTCGGGTAGCAGCACCAGGTGGCACCATAATTATAGTAACATGGTGCCATAGGGATCTTCGTCCAGATGAAGAATCTCTTCAACCATGGGAGGAGAATCTCTTGAAGAAGATATGTGACTCATTTTATCTTCCAGCATGGTGCTCAACTGCTGAATATGTCAAATTGCTTGAGACCATGTCCCTTCAGGTAGCTAATGGATCTACCTAATTATAAAAATTTCATTCTCTGCTATGAGTTGAGACATTTAATAGAGTTCATTTGAGTCTGGTGTTGCTAATCTAAACGACATAATTGCATTATTGTATACAATAGTTTATTGGATAAGCACTTAATCAATCACACTATGTGTTATCAGTTTAGGCTGTGTTGCTATTTTGACATTGATTGGTATCTATCTATCTATCTAGGACATCAAATCAGCAGATTGGTCTCCCTTTGTTGCGCCATTTTGGCCAGCAGTGATACGTTCAGCATTAACATGGAAGGGTTTCACTTCAATCTTAAGGAGTGGTAAGCTCAACATTGTACTCTAATATGTATTTATGATAATCAATCGAATGATTAATTCTTAATATTCAATAAGAATACTTCTTAAAAAGTATTAAACTCCTTCATTCATCTATAACTTATTTTGTGTCAAATAATCAAAAGTAAAATTCAATATGTGACTGAGAATTATTTGATTTTTGTTGTTGTTGTTGTGTGCAGGGCTAAAAACTATAAAAGGAGCTTTGGCTATGCCATTGATGATAGAAGGATTCAGGAAGGGTGTAATTAAGTTTGCCATTATCACATGTCGAAAGCCTGAAAACTAGGAGGGTCGACGATTTTATATTTTAGTATAATGAAACAGATTTCTTACATTTCATTGATTTTGGCAGTTCACTAATAGAAGATATAAAGATACATGTTCTGCCACATCAAATCCTATTAGGATTGAATAAGTGGATATTGAACGAAAAATGTAACCTGCAATTGAAATGGTTGCTCAATATTGCTTTACAAAGAAACAAATTTTTTTTTTTTTCCATCATTTATTGTTCTTGTATTGTATCATCATTGTTTACTGAAGCCCCTTTCGAATGTGTTTCTTTCCGTGAATTTTCTTAATATATTCAGATGTTCATTTGAAAGTCAAGGTTATTATGGTCAATTGGTTTTTTATGTTGATATTGATTCTGAAAAATGGGAAAAAATGATTTTTTTTGTTGGCAACATCTTAGTAGTTCCTATGTTTCTGCAGTTGTTTGCTCAAAATTTGTGGTCAATGGCACACAGTTGGAAAAGAAAGTCTCCAGAAAATCTATAAGTTTCAAGTTTGCTTACTCACACGCCCCTTCAAGGGATCCTTGATTTTTCATGGTTGCTCCAAGTCTCAACCAACCCGTCATCTTTAGCAGTTCTTCATTTATGCAACATTTTGGCAATTCAACCAATTTGTTGATCACCAAATCACACATAACAAAAGTGCATAGTTCAGGAGGTTCAAGCATATAAAAACCAGAGGGTCAACATCAACACAGCCGATATCCTACTTTTTACATTCATGAGACATTGAGGCAGTCGTCAATGCAATAAGGGGTCAGCAACTGTTAGTGTTCTGGGCCAGCCAAACGGCCAGAAAAACCTGTCCAACACCAATGGTCCAATCCAGAATACTCTCTAGCAGAAGAGTAATGAACATGTAGACTTCTGCTAGTGGACCGCACACCAGATCCAGACTATTTGCTCATCATCATATGTTGGATTCAATCCAACGCCAAGCCAACTTGGAGAGAGTTTAACCGCCCCTATATAAGTTCATCTATGTGTCATAAACAGTTACAATTTCGTTCACGTTTGCAAGTTATACCTCTCTGGCCTCATTGGTTTGGGTGTTAGAGTGTTAACCTTGCAAGCACACCTCCGTTCCGCCGCATTCAAGACTTACACACCGCATCAGAAGAACTTCATATATACACGTCATCAATCTTTTGTTCCACACTAGAACATGGCGCCTCTGTGGGAATTGTCCTCTGATTCTCAGGAACTTCCACGTCGAATTCATCAGATCCTTTCCATTGCGACGTCTCACCAACATTTCCCCCAACTGATAATGGTATCATATGATCTTACGAGTGGATTCACCGCTTCAATTTCAACCTCCGTCCTGTTATCACATCATGTCGTCTCCTTGATTATCGGAGGATCATCCAGCCTGAAAGAGGCTTCCAAGAGATCTGCAAAGAGAAATGTCTCGAGATCATAGATGAATGATGGGAAAAAAGAACCGAAAGATGTAAGACCAATCCTTGTGTACAATGTTTCCAACAAAGTGATTCTCTTGGTAATAACCGCCAAAAATTACCAACCGCCAAAATAACGAATTAGATGGGGCCAAGAATTTTGGCTGACGGAGGAAGCTCATGCAACATCATGTACGACCGTCTCTTCGAGGAGCTAGGACTAGATAGAAGGGTATTATCACCTTACAAAGGCATATATATATTCAGGCGTTCATAGATATTGGGGCACCATAGAGTTATCAGTCTCTTTGGGAGAAGGAAAGGATATAAAGACAGTGGACGTAAGGAAGGGACGTTTACAACTGCATCCTACAAGACCTTTCTTTGTAGCATTTGACATTGTCACTTAGATACATTCTACAAGACCTTTCTTCGACATAATCGCTTCGAACGTCCACCTAAAGATGAAATACCACAACATCTATGACGAACCAATTACCATTCAGGCCAACCTATCTGGAGCCCGCCTGATATATGAGATGCTGTTAAAAAAATCCAACTAAGACTACCCTCCAACAAGCGAAGAAAACAAGAAGGATTGTCGTCACCTATCAGAGCGGCCAAACATCAATACCACATCAGTTGATTTGTGTATGTTTTATGGATATTTTAGATTTGTTTTTAGTATTTCTAGAATATACAACTTATGTGATAGCTAGTAAAACACTTTATATCAATACTATATTTTATAATATCAATCTTATATACGAACTGTAAGTTTACAAATTCATGGAAATGTCAGATACTATGCTAGTTTTTACTCAATAAATTAATGAATCTGTGATAAGCAGTATATCATAGCTTTTCAAGTTACCCTTATGCCAAAGTTAATAGTAAATAAGTTACATTTCAGACAAAGATTTTACCTTATAAAATAAAATACTTTACAAGCATTAAACATGAGACAAAGAATCATGAACAAGATCATTCATTCATTGATAATAGTAATACCCACTAAATGATAACAGTGTTACATCTCACATTCTGTTAAGAAAATTACAATATAATCAATCTGTCAAACAATCAAATCATTTTGGTTAGCTTCCATCTCTAGCTATGTCATGAATAAAACTCAAGTACAAATCAAATTAAAATTCAACCAAACAGAACATTAAAAGGGTTCATAACCAAAACCAAGATACTGGACTAGGCCATTTTGCAGTCACACGGAAGCCTCTATCCTCGGCTCGAACGAAAAAGCAGACATAAACTCCATGACTTCTCCATTTATGCAACATTTTGGCAATTCAACCCATTTGTTGGTCACCAAATCAGACATAACATAAGTGCATAGCTCAGGAGAGTTCAAGCATATAAAAATCCGAGAACCGGCACCAACACAGTTGATATCCGGCTTCTTTCCGTACCATTCGTGAGACATTGAGGCAGGCATTGCTGCAATCTGTTGCCAGCATCGGTTAGCCTCATTGAATTTCCATACGCGAAGACTTGTGCTTTCCAAGAATTCTGATAACAAAACAACTAGCATCTCACCGTTACACTCTACAATGTCGATAGAGTACTCGCAGAAAACCGGTAACAACCTAGGGTACTCGATGAAAGATTTGCAAGTCAAATTGCATGCTACAACGGTTCCGGAGGTGCTCAGAAAATAGACAATCTCCTGACCGTCTTTGTAAGTAATGACTGATGAATATTGCTTGGTTGGACTTCTCTGCATGCTACTTGCCACCACGTTTCCGGCTTTGCTCAGGAAGTACACTACATTGTCATCGGTTGAATCACAATCCGACGAACTATCATCGGCCTTCCTCCCAAGAGCATTCTCGTCTTCCCAACAGGCTGAGCTAGAGTTATAGACTTTAAACGATAGATTTGGAAGTTCACCAAAGACCAATACAATCTTGTAGGACATTTGGTCATTGAAAGCAGCACTCATTACAACAGCATTGAGAGATTGGTTTTCTAAGTTGAAGTTCAACTGAGGAAGTTCGCAACAAGATTCGGTCACTGGATTGGACACAACGAAGTTTCCCAGCGACGTGCGGTAGCAAATTAGGCCGTTAGAGGCTGCAACAGGTATGCAACTTTTGTTGGAATCTTCAAGGAGTAGATTCGGATGATTGAGTCTTTTCCAACTGTTTTCAGCCGAGTCAAAGATGACAGATTGGTTGAGACTCGGAGCAACCATGAAAAACCAAGGATCCCTTGAAGGAACATGTGAGCAAGCAAGCTTGAAACTCACAGAAGCAGCAGCTGATTTCCATCTTTTGCAGACAGAAGTAAGGCGGAAAAAAGACGAAGTCGGTAGCCACGACAGTACTCTTTCAAAGAGATCTTCATTCAGGTCATCAAGTGAAAAGCTGTTGAAGAGTAGATTGTCTTCATTTTCTGGAGACTTTCTTTTCAAACTATGTGCCATTGACAACAAATTTGAAGCAAACAACTGCAGAAACAAAGCAACTATTAGCAAATGTAACCAATCAAAATCATTTTTTTTTTCATTTTTCAGAATCAATACCAACATAAAAACCAATTAATGAGAATATTAACAACTTTTATATGAACATACAAATATTTCAGGAAAAAGGGTATCCATAAAAAAGGTCAAAACTTTCCCTTTCATTCTCCAACCTCTTTTAATCTTGCAACAAAAATTGCAAAGATTCATTCACTATGCTATAACAAATTAAAAATCAAAACTTTACATAACTGTAAAAAAACCCTTCAATCTTAAGAACCTATTCTTCAAAATCAAACATTAACCTTGAAACTTCAAATGCTAAAATCATAAAAAAATTCCCTTTTTACTAGGAACCCTCAAAATAAACTCATAATTCCAAATAACACTAAAAAAACTCACTCTAAGAAACACAAGATGAATCAAAGTAAGAATAGAAAGGTACCTAAAAGAGAGAAAGAAGTGACGGTGGTTGTGGTTGAAGGTGAGATGATGAGAATGAATGAAAATGGGGTTTATGTTGAAGGATGAAAATCACAAAAAGTGAAAAAGAGAAAGTGAGGTTCTCAACTCAAGAGAGAGGAAGCTTCGTTAGGATATGAGTTTTATAATATTAATGTTAACAAGAACAATGGATAGTTGACACTTTGACAGTAGTGCAATGTAGTGTAGTGTTGTGTGTGTACTCACAAGTCACAAAGAGATATTCTCATTCACAAGACACACGCACACAAACCACACACACGTGTGAGTTTGCTTTAACGTTGTTTGTTTTGTTACATTAGATTCGGTTGCAAATCTATGTCAACGGATTTTTTCACATAACTAGTTGACTATGGTTTAGAGGAGCTTTGGATCCGGTTGAAACAAAACAAACAAAACAAAAAACATTAGTTTAATAATGTAGTGTTGCATAAAAGAAAGAGAAAGTGGAATCACTATGTAAAAATTGTCAAAGTGTGGTTTTGTTGCAGCTGACCCTTGTGAAACAAAAGCACTTTTGGGTCCTCGTTATCGAATCTTTGTCTGTTTTTATTGCAAAGTCAATGGTGAAACCCCATTCACAAGACAACTATAGGATTCTTTTATCATAATAATAAAACTAGAT